CTCACTCACTCACTCACTCACTCACTCACTCACTCACTCACTCACTCACTCACTCACTCACTCACTCACACACTCACTCACTCACTCGCTCGCTCGCTCGCTCACTCACTCACTGACTCACTCACTCGCTCTTCAGATTGACACTTCTGATCGACACTTCGGATCGGCACTTCTGATCGACTTCTAATCGACACTTCTCAGCAACACTTCTGATTGACACTTCTGATCGACACTTCTAATCGACACCTCTGAACGACACTTCCGAATGACACTTCTGATCGACACTTCTGAATGACACTTCTAATCGACACTTCTGAACGACACTTCTAGTCGACACTTCTGATCGACACTTCTAATCGACACTTCTAATCGACACTTCTCAACGTCACTTCTAATCGACACTTTTCAACGACACTTCTAATTAATCGACACTTCCGAACAACACTTCTCATCGACACTTCTGAACAACACTTCTGATCGACGACTCTGATCGACACTTCGGAACGACACTTCTGATTGACACTTCTGATTGACACTTCTAATCGACACTTCTGATTGACACTTTTGAACGACACTTTTGATCGACACTTCTGAACGACACTTCTAACCGACACTTCTGAACGATTCTTCTGACGGACACTTTCGATCGACACTTCTGAATGACACTTCTGATCGACACTTCTGAACGACACTTCTAATCGACACTTCTAATCGACACTTCTGATGGACACTTCTGATCAACACTTCCAAACAACTTTTCTGAACGATACTTCTGTCTCCAAATGCGCACCGCGCCACAGCGAGAGCGATTGGACCCACCCAAAGTGCGCAGAGGGTTCGCTTTGCCTGCTCAAAATGCGCACCGCGCCACAGCCAGAGCGATTCGACCCGCCCAAAGTGCGGTTCACTTCGCGTTCTCAAAATGCGCGCCGCGCCACAGCGACAGCGCTTCGACCCACCCAAAGTGCGCAGAGGGTTCACTTCGCGTTCTCAAAATGCGCACTGCGCCACAGCGAGAGCGATCCGACTTATTCAATCTGACGTGCCTGCCACGAAATCTACACCCAGGCGCCAAAGTACTGCGCCTGCCACGAATATTCAACGAAAAGCTCTAAAGCGCCGCGCCTGCCACAAAATTAAAGCAAACCACTCTAAAGTGCTGCGCCTGTCACACAAAGTAAGCTTGCCACGAACTCAAACTCATCCAAACTGCTGCGCCTGCCACGAAACCCAACTTTGACACGTTTACGACATGCATCCAAAACTAGCACGGGACTGTGGCGCCAGAATGATTTCGACCAACTTTGACATGTTTCAAGCTCGCCAAAACGAGCCGATTGTACAACAGGGCCAACGAAAACTACACTCGAGGAAAGGCTCGCGCGCGCATTCCAAGCAAAACACCTCAAAACGTCGACCCCTGAAAAGCAATCTGACATGCTAAGAGCTACGATTCCCGCACAGGGGCACGAAAAATGACACGCTTCAAGTCATTTGAATGGCACGTTTTTCGCTTCCCCCATTGGCACGGCGATTGCGACACTCGCGGACACATGCGGACGCTTGCGGACGCTTGCGAACGCTTGGGGACGTAAATCAACGACTTCTGGTCGCGTCCTAACCCCCAGACCCCCGACCTCTAAACGGAAACCCTTCTGCTACGACATTCGGGAAAAGTCACTGCCATATCACGCATTCCATCTTTAGGATACAACGTAATGCCACATTCTCTCACAACGGCATCTTCTTTACTATTCTATAATCAGAATAAAATCCAGTGACAACAGGGCTATCAGACTTTGACTTACGTTATACGCCATTTTTCCCCCAACAGCTGAAAGCTTTGGGCCCCGATAGGCTCCGGGGTGGTCCGGGGCGGCCCTGAGGAAAGGTTCCACGAGGGTTCCATTAGGGTACCAAGTTCCACGAGGGTTCCACGAGGTTCTGCAAGGGCTGCGGGGTGGTGCGAGCACTAAAAAGAGCACCGCATGCTGTTGGGGATGTCACTTGAGCTTATTCTCAATTCATCTAAATCTGGGAAAGGGGTTTTTAATGAAATTCAAAGTCATTCTTGTCTCCCGCTCCATTTTCTCACCTGATATTATAAGGTGCTGTTTCTTTTAGTGTGTTGTATTCTATCTTGAGGGTGGAGTTTATGTTGGCAAAATATGTTCCTACAAAATAATATAATTCACCAACAGCTGAAAGATAAGGAGTCTCAGCCCAGATAAGGTTTGCGGGTGGCTCGGCGGAGCTTTGGAGTCAGGTTCGAGCAAGGTTCCGGAGGTTCTGGGGAGACCGGGTGGAGTTTTCGGGGTGGTCTGGTGCAGGCCAGGTGAAAAGTTCAAGGGAGGTTCCGGAGGTTCCGGGGTGGTGCGGAGGTTCCGGGGAGGTTCCGGGGTGGCTGGCGCAGGCCAGGTAAGGTTAAGAAGGTTCGGGAGGTTACGGGGAGGTCTGGTGCAGGCCAGACGTAGGGTTCAAGGAAGGTTCGCAGAGGCGTAAGGTTTTGGGTGGTCTGGTGCAGGCCAGCCAGGTTCTGGAGAAGCAGGCATTGGAGGTTTGGGAGGTATCGGGGGAGTCCGGGGCGGCTCTGAGGTAAGGCTCCGCAGCAAGGATTCCGCAGGTTCTGAGGTAAGGTTTCGCAAGGTTCTGCGAGGATCGAAAAAGAGCGCCACATGCTGTTGGGGATATCGCCTGAGCTTATGCCAAGATTAACGAAAAACAACATAATATTCATTATGATTTGGACGAGGGATTCGGAAGCACCCAAGCGACGCACAAGAAGGCAAAAGAGAAAGACCCAACAATAACCATAGCAGATGTAAAGTTGTTTTCTTAAGAAACAGCCAATCAAACAAATCAATAATTATAGAGGCACGAAATCCTACACCGCACCGTTGGCACGATATCAATATCACATAGACATAATGCACATGACAACGGTGGCAAAATAAGGCGAACCAACGTAAGCTTTAGTAGTCATTGACATCTTTAGTAAACTGGCGGATGTTGTCCCTATGAAAGAAAGATGGTGAGCACGGTTTTCAAGCATTGAAAAACAAGCTTTAAAAAAGATGGGTTATCCAATGAGTGTGTATTCTGATGATGATGGCGCTTTCGCTAACAAAAACAATGTCCAAAAGTTGTTTGAAAGCGAGGGTGTAAGACGCATCGTCATGAAGACCCACGCGAACGCGGCGGAGCATTCTACTAGGACAAGGAAAAACACAACTCACGATAGAGCTAGGTTTAACAAATTTACTGACGCCTTAACACCAGCATTGAAACAGTATAACAGCACATTACACTCATCAACAAAAACGACACCGACCGAAGCGCACAAGCACGACAACAAGGTGAATGTAAAAGTCAAACTCAAACTCAAAGAAAAGAACACAAGAAAGTATCCGAGCATAGAGAAGAACGATCAGGCAAAAGTGTTTCAAAAGAGAAGGGGCAATTACACCGACAGAAAATAGTATGTCAGTCGTTGGAGCAATAATAAAACCTACAGAGTAGCAAGAATAAACAAACCGCTTTCGAAACATTACATATTGTTAGTTAATGGTTAAAAATACAGTTTCAGTTCCTTGTTATATTATATTTTGTAATATTCCATGGGTGATTGCTTCGGTTCTTTAATTTCTCAATGGTTCACTTTCTTAAGATATATACCTTTATTGTTCTTATATTCCTGGCTATCTCTAGCTACTTCTTTCGGTTAATAATTGTTATTATTATATGTTGGCTTCTTAGTCATGCTTTCTAAAAGTGAATACATATGTTTGTTCTGTCCCATTATCTCAGCAATTTTCCTAATCAGTGTCAACACTTTTCATAAATACTATGTTACAAAACAAACTTCAATAACTACCCTATTTAATTTCTAAAGCTTTCGTAATTTAAGTGTCCAACCTCCTTATCTTGAACCATCATTCTAATGATTTTATCTAAATCCTCCTGTGTATGACCGCATACTATTGCTTTGTCTATATAAGTAGTCATACCATGAACGACACTGCATAACAATAAGTCATATTTGTTTGACTTGTGCATGAGTGAAAACGATCTTGCAACCGCATTTGCAAGTACGAAAACAAACCCCATTAGAACTATCATCTCAGATTTGTCTATCTAACTCAAGTGCGCCAAAATGTAAATTTGCTAGACTTGAATACTCGTCCATATATTATGTCATAACACAAACCTTGTAAAACTAAATGATTAAAGGATGCTAAATCTACTCGTCAATTGTTCATCAGTTCCCGTATAGTTCCTGTGTTTCGTGTTCTTCCTGACCACTTGCACGTGACACATCACGCCCCCATTTAAACGATATGTTATGGACGTCCATGTCTAAACTTATATCACCATCCTTAGTTTCATCAATGCTCATTTTATTATCATGTACTTGTTGTGAACCCCGTTGGGATGCATGAGCATTGGCAGTTTTCTTTCCTTTGCATTTCTAATTTGAATTCATGTCTAACATCTTTTGGCACATAGAACATGAAAACTCAATGACACATGTTTGCTTCACAACTTCCTCATCTTCTTCTTCCGTTGAAGAACCACAGGAAGAAGTGTTTTCTTTTTGTTTTTCTTAACCCCAGTGTTTCAAATGATGTCATCAATAATAACAATTATAAACAAATGTCTAAATATATTTA